TAATCGGGATGGGTGTGACAGAGGCAATGTGATTGGCACAGTATAGAGCAGGGTTTAGGGCTGTTGTACATAGGGTCGCTATGACGGCACATAACAACAACAACAGCAGGATAAACCTGTTTGTTTTCTTAGCCTGCTTTCATCCTCTGTAGGACAAATTTGTCACACAGTTGTAATAACCAAAACAGCATGGTACTGGTACAGTGACAGGCTCATAGATCAATGGAACAGAATTGAGAACACTATCGACCTATCTATCTTTGGTAAACTGATATTTGACTAGGAAATAAAACCTATCAAATAGGGAAATGACAAATGATGCTGGCAAAACTGCACTGCTACCTGGAGAGAGCTGAAACAGGATCCACATCTTATACCATATGCTAAAATCAACTAATGAGGAATCAGATATCTGGGAGTAGAGACCAAAATTATAAAGTTCATAAGAAATAAATTGGGACCAAGCTTTAAAGGCCTAATCTATGGTATAAAGATACTGAAAAATACAGCCAGAGATACAGAAACTGAAGAGGGTAAAATTGATGAATGGGATTTTCTAAAGATTAAATTCTCCAGGCTTATCAAAACTTTTTTGCAGCAGGGTGAAAAGAAAACCTGTTGACTGGGGAAAAAATTGTAATACCATCTCAGACAAGTTTCTCATAATAAAAGTTTACAGAATACTGCTTGACCTCAAGAAGACAAAGACTGATAACCCAGTTACAAAATGGGCAACAGACATGGAAAGACTTATCACAGTGGAAGACATTAAGGGGGCCAAATGACATATGAAGATGATCAAAATTACTGGCAGTTGAAGAAATGCAAATCAAAAGCACAATGGGATACTATCTCACCCCAGTAACAGTAGCAAAGTTCAGTGGGACAGCAAACAATAAATGTTAGAGAGGATCCAGAGAGATTTGACTTTTCATACACTGTTGGTAGAATTGTAAAATGGTACAATCACTCTGGAAGACAGTTTTGTGTCACCTCAAAAAGTTGAAAATTGAACCTCTATTTGACCCAGCTGTTCCACTACTTGGAGGCAAGGATTCTGAAGCTTCATCTGACATACTTTGGACATATGGCAAGGAGGGACCAGTCCTTGGAGAGGGACGTCATGCTTGGGAGGGTGGAGGACAGCACAGGAGAGGAAGACCCTCGATGAGTTGGACTGATTTAGTGACTGGAGTTAAGGTGGGTAGGTGTACCAGAGACAATAAGATTGGTACAGGGCAGAGGAGTGGTTAGGGCTTTTGTACGTAGGGTTTCTATGAGGTCACAGGTGACTCGATTATACATAACAACAACAACAACAACAAGAAACAACATTCCACTACTATGAATATTCCCAAGGAAATTAGAACTGAAACACAAGTAGAGATTTGTACACAGATGTTCATAGCCATGGTATTCATTGTTGCAAGAGTGTGGACACAACCCAAATGTCCAACAAGAACTGAATGGATTGAGAAAATGTGGTATATTTACACAGTGAAATATTATGCAACACTTAGGAGCAATGATTTTAAAAAATACTACATAACTTGGGAGAGACTAGAGAGCATTATGCTGAGTGAATTAACTCAGTTTCATAAGGCCAAGCACTGCATAAGACCATTATTTTAAAAATAGAAGAGTAACTAGTTAAACATGTATGGGGACCCAAGTAGGAAAGGGTGAGAGTATAGGAGTGAGGAAGGGTAGGGGTGAAGCCACAATGTTGCACAATTTTGTGGGTGGAGGGAGAGGGTGAAGGAAATGGGATTATGTGTACCCAAAAAGACAGGGTAATGAAGATTAATTTTATAAATTTTATATTAATAAAATATTAATTTTATAAAACATAATGCATGGAGGCCATTTGCCGATTTGCCTAGTAAAGCTCTTAGCCCTTTGCCTTAAAAAAAAAAACCCAGAACAAACAAACAAAACAAAATGAAAAAAACCAAAGAAAAACATAATACATGGAAATGATTGTATAAAACACTATGAATGAAGAATAGTGTGAAACACTATATATGTGAACTTCGTAAGCAAAGGAAAATAAAATTAAAAAAATAAAAACCAAAGCCAAAGAATAACAAATAAATGGTTAGAAAAACTGTGTTACATTTGTAGAATGGAAAATTGTGCAGCATTGAAAAACAATGAACTCGTAAAACATTAAACAACATATGGGAGCCTGGAGGTCAAATATCCTAGTCACATGAGGACAAATATTGCATAACAACACTGTTAAAAAAAAGACAGAAATGGTGGGGATATTGAAGGAAAAATGAGAAAAGAGTAGCTAGATAATGAACACTGCATGAGATTGTATGAAGGAAAGAACTGTCTGAAAGGAATATATGATTAGGCATTTTATGTATGACAACAATCTGTAACAATGAGTTCATTGCAGGAGGGGTAAGGGAGGAGCCAAGGACGGGTAAAATGTGGAACAATGGAAAAACCTCCTCATTTTCAATGTTTAAAGCCCAGTAAGAAAGAGTTTAAAAATCCTAGCCTTCAAGGAGAAACTTGGTTTCACCCTCTCTGAGACAGACCTATTTATTTTCTTGGCAGTCCATGATATGTTCAAGATTCTTCTCCAGCACCACAATTCAAAGGCATTGATTCTTTTTCTGTCATCCTTAGTTATTGTCCAGATCTCTGATGCACAGAAAGTAATTGCCAAGACTATGGCCTTTATTAGGTATGCCTTAACTCTAGGCTGACATCAGTGCTTTTCAGTACTCTGGAGAGGTCCCTGACAGCAGATTTTTCCATTGCAGTTTGTCTTTTGATTTCCTGACTTTTCGTATTAAGAGTGTTGATTGTGGCGCCAAGCAAGCTGTAATTGTTAACATCCTCAATCTCTTCTCCATCTATCATGATGCTACCAACTGACCAAGAGGTGAGAATCTTTGTCTTCTTGATGTTGAGCTTAAATCCATATTGAAGACTACAGTCCTTAACCTTCTGCAACAAGTGTTTCAGGTCTTCTTCAATTCCAGCAAGCAAAGTTGTGTCATCTGCATAATGCAGGTTGCTTATAAGTCTTCCTTCAATTTTGATGCCACATTCCTCTTCACTCCCTTCCTGATTTTGAACCATGCAGTATTTCCCTGCTCTGTTCTGAAGACTGCTTCCTGGTCTAAGTGTAGGTTTCATATAAGCACAATTAAGTGTTCTGGGATTCTCGTTCTCCTCAAGGTTACCCACAATTGTGATCCACACAGTCAAATACCTTTGAATAGTCAAGGAAACACACATAGATATCCCTCTGGTATTCTTTCTTTTCTGCCAAGATCCATCTGACACTGGAAATAATATCTCTAGTGCCATGACCTCTTCCAAACCCAGCTTGTATTTCTAGTAGTTCTTTGTCAATGTACTGTTCCAGTAGTTTCTGGATAATTTTCAGGAGGATTTTTGCTCATGTGTGATATTAGTGATATTATTCAATAATTTCCACACTCTGTTGGGTCACCTTTTTCAGAATGAGAATAAATATGGTTCTCTTCCAGTTACTTGGCCAAGTAGTTGTCCTCCAGATTTCTTGGCACTACTTGGTGAGCACATCCAGGGCAGCACCTTTTTTTTTTTAAATATGTCAATTGGTATTCCATCAATTCCTGGGACTTTATTTTTTGCCAAGTATTCCAGAGCAACCTGAAGTTTTTCTTCATCACCATTGCCTCTTGATCATATGTTGTCTTTTGAAATTCTTCTGTGTCAGCCAATTCTTTTAGATATGATGACTCTGTTCACTTTTTGCATTTTCTTTTAATGCTTCTTGGATCATTAAATATTTTACCCATAGCATGCTTAAGCATTGCCACTAGCTCCCAAATAACTTTAATGAGATAAACTTCTTGTGAGAACTAATGTCTTAGTCTTTTTGTTTCTTTTATAAGAAAAAGTCACATTTGATGGCCTAATAGTAAGAAGCTGTACTACAATGCCAAATGAACACTATTTCAATCCACTTGGTGCTGTACCCTGCCATTTACTGCCTCTGAAAACAAGCTGGAAGGTCAGCCATGGGTCCGTTGCAACTTGATGACATAAAATTGGATTTAAAGGGAAGAACTGAAGAGTTATAGACTGAATGAAAAGAAGTCAGCATTATAGGAGAAAAGTAGAAAGAAGGAAAAGAAGGCATACACTTTGTATACCTTCTTGTTATATACCTTTGTGCTGGGTGATTCTATGCTATCATTCCCTGAGATTTAGAAAATCTGGAATCAGTTTGTATGCATATGGGCAAGAGCCTATCCAACTTTGGTGACCTGCCCACAGGGAATCATTTCCAGATCTGTGAGTCAGAGACATCAAACTAATGGGTAATGTGTTAGGTTAACTTTGTTAAGAAATACTCTCAGAGTCAGTACTAACCAGAGTTCTAATCTCTCGCTTTTGTTGCTCTCATAGGGTTTAAAAATTTTTTTTCTTAATTTAATTTCTTATGCTTTGTTGTAATTTCTTCTTTCTTGTTGTACAGCCAAGCATTTTAAAAAAATTTGTATAGTGTTGTCAGATCTTTAAGATATCATTATGAGGTACTATTTTAATGTTCCTCTATTTGTGACAGATTATGTGAGGTGCTCAACCTTGATCCAAGGCAAGTCCTGATTGCAGAAGTTATCTTCACAAACATTGGAGGAGCTGCAACAGCCATTGGAGATCCACCAAATGTCATTATTGTTTCCAACCAGGACTTGAGGAAGATGGTATGTATCAGTATTCAGGGTTTCTTCCATTAATTGTAAGCTTTATCTTTAACACTTAGCATTCTATCAAAAAATAGTTACATTCTTGGAAAGAAAACTAGTTTATGTCATCTATTCTCAGTAAGTGCTATTGGCCATATCAGGAGTGGGATACTAATTGATTGACTCTCCAATGGAGACTTAAGTGGTCTGAATTGATTGCTCTTTCATTAAGTTAACTTTTAAAAGAAATTACTGAATAATATACTCCATTTGGTAACAGTGTATTTTTATGCTAATTATGCTAGTAAAATAAAAGTTTTTTCCAACTAATATTAAAAACGAAGTGATTTGTTCCCTTTCACTGAAGATATGATGGTGGTCCTTCACTGATGGAGAACTTAAAATGTTTTTAAAAGAGTCAGGTAATGAAAGGCCTTACATAATATTTAATATTTAAAAGCTCTTATAAAGATTAATATATAACTTATTTATATGTTTAAATAAATACTAAGTGTTAAAGAATGAAAATAGAGTTTACATATATTGTTGTTGTTTTATGCCACCAAATTGCCTGCGACTCATAGCAACTCAACAGCTCTAAACCCTGTTCAATCCTGTGCCCATCTTATTGTCTCTGACACCCCTACCCCCTTTACTTCAGTCACTGAATCAATCCACCCCATCAAGGGTCTTCCTCTCCTGTGCTGTCTTTCCACCCTCCCAAGCATGATTCCTCTCTCCAAGGACTGATCCCGCCTTGTAACAGGTCCAAAGTATGTCAGACAAAGCTTCAGAATCCTTGTCTCCAAGGAACAGCCTGGTTTAACCCTCTCCAGCATGAACTTATTTGTTCTCCTAGCAGTTCATGGTAACTTCAAAACTTCACCAGCAAGCTTAGGGAATTTTGCCAGTAACTTGCTAAAGGAGTTAGGAAGTGTAAATTTTAGTCAAATTAGCAAAGTTATACCTTCATCATTAGAACAAAGTGTGTCACATAACAATTTAGAAATCCATGTCCTTCACATATATATACAAAAACATATCATCTTTAATAAATAAAACCATTTGGAAGTGTTTTAATTTATTTTTCAAAGAAGAGAAATTAATAAACTTTGAATGATGAAGAATTATAAATGCAAACAATATAGTTCTTATTTTAACTTTTTAATATATATAATATAGTTTCCATTTATTCAGATAAGTATTCAATTGAGGAACATAATCAAGGCCAGGAGAAGAACAATTTCAAAAGACTAGAATGAAGAGTGCTTGCTGTTAACATAGGCCTTGGGATAATGCTAGCTCTTGACAGACTGGAAAAACACTTAATCCATTAGGTACTTTAATGGAGTACTCCAAAGTTTCTTGATAGCTTGCTTTCAGAAACTCTGTGAACTTAGAGAAAAGATGAAAGTTATTAGTTTTCAAGGCTTTTTGTTCGTAGGGTCTCCATGAGTTGTTTATGACTTGACTGCACTTAACAACAACAACAACAACAACAAGCATTATTCTGGTTCCACTTAACAGATCTTAAAATACAGATTAAAAGACTCACCCAACTAGTTTCTAACTGCACACCATTACTAATCTGATGAATATTTCTAAGACTACGACTTTCTGGTGCTTGTGAGGAGAAGGAACTGAAATTTTCCTTGGTCAGGGTCCATTTGGGGATCCTTGCCTCCATAGCTGCAGGATCATCCCAGGAGCCAAACAGAACAAAAGAGTTTGGGACAGAGAGCTACAAGCAGGGGAAGGACTTTCTCAACTATCTGTGAGAGGGGAGGCATACATGAAACCCACTGCACTTAAACTGCGTAAGTTAGTGCCCTGATCTCACACCACTCCAGAGACAAAGGAAGACATTAAGCTTCAAGAGAGAAGGCTTGATCACTTGAGACTCTCCTCCCCATTTCAAGACACTTACCTCCTCCAGCTGCAGGGACATCTCAGGTATCAAAGAGGATGAGAAAGTTTGAAGCAGAGAGCTACAAGTAGGAAAAAGACTTCCTCAACTTTCTTAACCAGCAACTTGAACTGTGAGAAAGAGCTGACTTGAAACCCCCTGGACAAAACCAGCTTGAGTGGAGCACCAGGTTTCACATCATTTAGCCACTCTATAGAAAAAGGAGGACAATAGAGTTTTAAAGACAGGGGACTACATTAATGCCAGATTCCTGCTGGGCTGTATGGCAGAACCGAAAGAACCTGCAGGACTTTAGGAAAGGCAAATTTTCCCAGAAAGGACTTTCACTAGAGTGAGTGACTCACCCCATAGTTTAAACATTTTAAGCAGCAACTAATCAATAACATCATAAAGATAAGAACTACAAATAGCTTATCAAGACACAATAGAAACAGACTAATATTTATCAAGAAAAATGTCAAATAATGCTAAGAAAGGCAGCTTCAAACATTGTGAAAAAACAAAGTAAGCCTTCTCAAGAGAAAACCACAAAAAAACCCACGGAGAATAATTCAGACCCAATGAATACTCGAGTGAAGAAGGCAGATGATATAGGTTGATATGGAGACAATCAAACAGCTATGAAAAAAGTACAAATGATCAAAGAAACAATGGAAGCTACAAATAAAGGAAATACCCTAGAGGTAGAGAACAAGAAGAAGTATATTGATGAGGAGTTATTTGAACAGCTACAGAAGATGGTGCAAATGATGAAAGAAACAATGGAAGTCATTCAGAAAGCAAACACTCCAGAGACAATGGATCAAGAAGAAATACAATGATGAAGTGGAACTTGCACAACTACAGAAGAAAATGCAAAAGATGGAAGAAAGAATTGAAAGTATAGGTAGAGGTACAAGAACTAAAAAAAATCATCACAAGATAGAGAAGGTACAACCAGCATAGTACTGGAAATAACAGAAATGCATGAAAATGCAATCTGGAATATTAAGACTATAATGGCAGAAGTGTCAACATGCTGGAAAGATAAAAAAATAGAACAGAAGAGATGGAGCAGAGTCAGTCAACTGGAAGATAAGAACCTCAATGAAAACATACTAGAAGAAAAATCAGAGATGAGACATGAAGAAAACATTAGAATTATGTGGGATGACTTAAAAATGAACAATGTAAGTTTGATTGGAATTCCAGAATATGAGAGGGACAGGGAAATAACTGAAAAATTGTGGAGGAGGTACTTGAAAAAAATTTCGTATGTATTATGAAGAATGAGGAAATACACATTCAGTAAGCTCCAAGAACAGCAAATAGATCAGCCCACCCCTCAAAAAAAATACCAAGACATATCATAGTAAAGTTAACCAAAATAAAAGAAAGGATTGAATACAAAAAGCAGTATGGGAAAACAAAGAGTCACCTACAAAGAAAAAACCAATTTGACTAAGTTCTGATTTCTCAGCAAAAACCATGCAAGCAAGAAGACAATGGAATAGCAGATACAAAAATTTAAAGGAAAACAGTTGCCAACAGAGGATCCAGGAAAGCTCTCCATAAAATAGTAAGGAGAAATGACATCCTTTGCAGAAAAGAAGGAACTTAAGGAGTTTGTGAAAACAGACCAAATCTACAAGTACTTTTTTTTATTTTTTAAAAATATTTA